AGTAGAAATCACTAGGCTATAGATCAGGTGATCTAGCAGGCCACGCTACAGGGCCACCTCTTCCCATCAATCGATTAGTGTACTGCTGATCTAACACTTCACGAGAAATTATGGCATAATGAGCAGGGCAGCCATCATGTTGAAACCGCATACCTGCCCTTACTTAAAGTGGTACATCATCAATTAGATCTGGCAAATGTTGTTGTAGAAAGTCCCGATATTTTGGCCCATTCGATGTTCCTTCAATAAAATACGGACCAATCAACATGTCTCCAATAATTCCGCACCACACATTCACGGTCCAAGGGCGCTGATGTTCTACTTCCCTCAACCATCACGGATTTTCCACACTACAATAATGACGATTCACCTCTCCATGGTTTGTAAATGTGGATTCGTTGGAAAATAAAACGCAAAGGAAAAAATTCCTATTTATGTGTTTTTGATTTCGTGCCCACTCACAAAATATCACTCGATTTTCAAAATCATTACCATGAAGTTCCTGATGTAACGAAATATGATATGGATGAAATTTGTGCCGCTTTAATATTCTTAGAATACTGGTTTTAGGAATTCCAGAATCTTGAGAAAGTTTTCGAGAAGAAACATGCGGATTCACAGCAACAGCTGCTAATACTGCGATTTCATTATTTTCACCAGTAATCGTGACTCGTCGTGTTCTTTTTTTCGACTGTACACTTCCAGTCTCTGTCAACTGCTTTACAACACGGTAAAAAGACGCCCGGGATATAACACTTCTTCCACGTTCACCATAAAGCAATATCATTTCAACTTTTTGGGCGATCGAAAGATATTCCATACTAGTTACACAATTTACAAGTTAATAATGACTACAGAATTGTACGTTAATAACGAAACAAAGTCTCTTCAGCTACTGCTCCTTTATTTCGGTATGATAAAGAAATTCGAAGCAATTTTCAGTAAAATCTGTTTGAAATAAAAAACTTCAATCGATTACTGAATAATTCAGGTTTATTTCAATGGTGATAACAACATTATTTACGTTTTTTGTAAGAAGATTTTTTTTTAAATATAGGAATGAATATTATGTAATTATTATTAATTTACTTACCTAGTGGTTTAAAAATTTTCTTCTATCGGTAAATTTCCTGCGTTAACCATTATAGTACTTTAACTAAACGAACTCAAATTGAACTTTTTATAATATATATTCAAAGTACCTCTCGACACTCACATAAATTGGCTGAAAAATTGAAAACAATTATTGAAAAATTCAAACTTTTAATCAATAAAGATACATCTGTCAAAGTAAATGAGATATAAGACGAGACGGAGGAGGCGACGTTGCCAGCTTACAACGGCATTATTTATTAACAATAGAATGCAACCCGTACTACAACTTTAACTAATCTTTATTAATTATTGTTACAATATTTAATGTGACCCACTTAAAATCTGGGCATTCTGTAAAATATACATTTATAAACGTAGATGTCTTATTTTTTATATATAAAGCATTAAAAAATGTATCTTGACACAAATTTTCATACATGATTTTTTTATGTAAAAAGGGCAAATTTTATTATGGACTTAAAAATAAATGAGAACAAAAGTGGATTTACATATCTTAAAAATGGAAACACAATTTTTTTTGTGAAAAAAAAAATACTCCACAAGGAGCTTTTATTGATAATACAATCTGATCAAGAGTTGATCAATGAGTAATTTTGTTATAACCTAATTTAACTAGGGTTGCAATCTTAAAAACTAAATTTCTACTCGCTAGTATACCTTAGGGTCTGATAACTTAATTACTCTAAACTAACGTGTAACACTAAATCGCACAATGCAAGGTTTCACTCTCTTGAGTCTTCTTGTCAGGTTCGTGTTGTCAAGAAGCTGGATCGCCTCAACGTTCACCTGTTGGTAAAGTCGTTGTTCGTGACTCCTAGTGAATCTGGTGATAGTCTGGTCAACAGTGTCCATCTGAAGGTCTCGATGAAGGTCGCTGTTTCTAATGTACTAAGGAGCATCGACAATGTTCCTCAATACTTTGTTCAGGAATCTCTGGAATAATAAAATATTACTGTAGCTGGCACAACCCCAGAGTTGAATGCTATAGGTCCAAATTGGTTTGAGAACTTGTTTATATAATAGAATAACACAAAAAATGTTTTTTTAATATCAATATTAATTTTGGAAAAACAGTATTTGCTAATATTTTTTACGTTGATTTTAGACATATTTCGATGACTGGCAATATTCAGTAAAATTTTAGCTAAGTTTGTCAATTCGTTAATTTTTTGTCTGATATTTCGAATCTCTCTATATATATTAAAGGTATCTTGGCAATATTTTAATGAGTAAAAATAAATTTACATGTATAGATTTCAGTCCATTGAGCTTAATTCTCCATTTATTGGTTTAGCTAATTACATAATTACTTGCAGTTTTGAGTTTTCTATCATATATTTTTTCATCCTAATCAACTGCAAGGAAAACAGGATCATCAGTTAAGGTAGCTATATATTTTCCAGAGAATATAGAGTCTTTAAAATTTGGTTCATGTTATGGCTATTTTCATTTATTAAGTTAATTTTGGTTTTATTTTTACTTTCCTATCTGTATACAGATATAAGGAAAGTATAGGAATCATGATTTTTTTCGACCTCGAGTTTTCGACGGATTTTTACGTTTTGAGGTCCCCTGAATCCGTTTTGACCATTTTCGCGATGATGTCTGTGTGTGTGTGTCTGTATAACGCATAACTCATGAACCGATACATAGAAAAACACCAAATTTTAAACTTAAGCTTTGTTTCAACGTCCAATGAGCTGATTAGATTTTGGGCAGAGTCGGAACATCTGGGGGGGTACTTTATAGGTAGTCATTTTTATATTTTATGGAATATATCTGTTATTTACGTTTAAAGAAGAAAATTCTTCAAATAAAAGTTACTTCTAATTAAATTATCTATAATTTTTATTTTAAGCAAAATTTTCCTAAAATGGTCCGTATTCGAGAAATTTGACAAAATGTAAAAAAAAATAATTTTTTATAAAAATTGTTCAAATAAAAGTTGTTTGTAATATAATTCTCTATAATTTTTATTCTATACATACTTTCTCTAAAATGGACCGTATTCGAGATATTTGAGAAAATGTGTAAATTTCGAATTTTAAAGAAAACTCAAAAACGGATAAAGAAAAAAACATTAAATTTTAAACTTAAGGTTTATTTCGGCCTGACGTGAAATGATTAGATTTTGGACAAAGTCGGAACATCTGGGGGGGTACTTTATGGGAGGCCGTTTTTATATTTTATGGAATATATCTGTTATTAATGTTTGGAGAAAAAAATTGTTCAAATAAAAGTTACTTCTAATATTATTATCTATAATTTTTGTTGTATGTAAAAATTTTTTGAAATGGTCCGTATTCGAGAAATTTGACAAAATATGCAAAATTCTGATTTTTATGAAAGTTTTTGAAATAAAAGTTGTTTGCGATATCGATCTCTATAATTTTTGTTTATACATGATTTTTCTAAAATGGACCGTAATGAAAAAATTGTAGGAAATTTAAATTTTTCAGTATTTTCGTTTTCCACGAATATCTATAGAATAATGTTTCGAGGTAGATGTATGTGGACAATGTATATATTTAGTTTATCCTCTAAACATTTATAGAGATGCTGCAATAGGTTGTACAAAATAACCGGAAAAGCCTATAATAACTAGATAGGAAAGTCATGTGTTGGACACATCAGATTTTTTTTTTAGTAGTATAATATCTAATTGTTAGTTTTCCTTTTAGAGTTTAAGAAACAAACATATATTCATATATTCAATAAATCTTTCTTGCTTCTATAATCTATTTACAGCTATTGTGTTCACTGTGCCTACATATATATTATTAAATGTGTATTTTTATAAATAAATATTACTATATAATATTAAAATTATAAGCATAAAATTTCCATCGGAAAACAAAATAACGTACATTTACTCAGTGGCCATGTTCATTATTTTCCGTAAAAATACGCCGTAGTAGTAATTGCACTTTAAGTCCTGAAATAACATCAAAAACGCGATTAGTTCAGAGCATGCTACTCTTTAATTCATAATCAGATTTGTCACTAACGCAAAACGAGTCATTCGATTATACGCATCTGTGAAGCGATAGCTTAATTTGCTTTGCCGGGTGAGTTAATATGACGATAATAAATGTCAAATACTAGAAATATAAAGATGAAATCATTTAAAAATATCCAGTTATTTAAAAGTTAACTTTGGCGTTCGCCTGGTTTATTTTAAACGTAGCTTTCATTTTAAACGTAGTATTCATTTTAATATTTAAAACCGCTTATAAAGTATGCTTAAGGGTTGTAAAGACGTTTTAGGCAACGGAGTTTTTTTAAAGAACTCGAATAAAGATCTTGAGTTTTGGTACCTAAACCATGTGAAATCATTAAATTGCCTAAAAATTTTCTTTAGGACTAAATGAATTTACATGTTTTCTTTCCCCTACAAATACAGGAAAATAAAACACATCGCACTACAAAATACTGTTTAGTTTCCCTGAAAGCTAGGCTTCAAATTAGATACATTTTTTCATGACAACACAAAATTAGCACATCAAATTTCTGTCTAGGAATCTCGACAGCCAATGTCGTTTAAGGTCTATACGAAAGAGCATATGTCTAGCAAACATGGATATCTGGGTTGCATTTAGGCAAAACGTACTACGTATTGACCATAGCGCAAAAATATCCCATTATGATTGGTCCGCGACTAAACGTTTTGTCTAGCTAGGTTCGAAAGCAGGTACGGATTGCTCTCACATGAGGCCTTCAATTTTGGTCCTGCGTTGTTGGGCTTGAGAAGTTATGCCCGAACCCCAATGCCATTATTTTAATTTAAAAAAAAAAACAATAAAAAGTAAGGTAGTTTATTGAGAATGATAACTGTTAAAAATTTATACAAAATTGAAAAGGAACAGAAATAATTAGTAGGTATCTTAATGCCCAGAACCATGCCCTTTGGCATGAGGTACATTGTTGAGCACATTACTTGTCAAATTATGTTTTCGTTTTTCTCTTTTGATGACTACATTAGAAGCTGGGCGACCAGTTGGCATTCGTTTGCTGCCTCTTGTGACTCCAGGATTTCTTCTGGCTACTGTAGTGGGTTGCACACGAATGGCATCCATGGCGTTTCCTAACACAACTGCTAAAAAAGTATCCTGAGTTCTAATATTTTTTAGTTTCAATAAACATTTGTCGATGACTCCTATAGAGGAACTAAATTGTTCGTGATTGATTTTAAGTAGGTCTAAAAATTGTTTAAATTTATCGTCAACAGACTCTGTAGATGGTGTGTTTTGCTCAGGTGAATTGACAATCTGTTACAGGGGTACCATTTAGAGAAGAATTCATGTCACAGTTTTCTCCGTACTTTTATTTTGTAAAAGAGGAGCATAAAACTCTGGAGGGTTGGCTTTATTTCCTAAAGCTAGAACAGCCATTGCATATTGCTCTTCTGTAGTGGAATCTTCAATATTGAAAAATAGTGACAGAAATTCTGCCTGGTATTTGGATAGTTTTCCCAATCTTTCATTTTCACACTTGCAAAAACCTCTACATTCAAATCAACATCGTATAATATTTCGGAGTTAGTACTAGAAGGTACTTTGTAAATGACACAGTCAACGTTCGTTATATCTTCTTTTTTTCAAATATAAAGCACGTTGGACTTGGGATTTTACAAGAAGCCTTCTTGTGTCAGCGCGGCCATTAGCAAAAGTTCTTAAACGCCTGATGTAATATTGTTACAATACTGTACACGTAAAATCAATCAATGCCACTACGTTGTAAGCTTTGCAACGACTGAGAACAATATCTTTGTAAATACGAACACAAACTTCGGAAAAATTGTTGGTTTGATTTTCATATATATTTGCATCCCGATAAGTTAAACACCATTCTTGCTTACGATTTTAATATTTTTCTATATAACGCATCCATAACGGATAAGTTTAGCCTATCATGTTTACCAGTGCTTCTTTGAGAGCCTCTTCCGCTTTGACATCAGTGGAAGCAATTAATATATTTTGTAAAACTATTATTCGCTCCGTGCGCGACAGCAGCGCCAATTTGTTTTGGTATTAAAGGAGTATTTCTGCCTATACTGACAAATACAATTTTTAATAGAATTCGTAAATAAAAAGTATATATGTTAGTTTTAATAAAAGTATATGGATTTATAAAACAATTAAAACATTAATTTATTATTATTATATATTTTTCACGCTTAAATTGAAGAAAATAATGTATAATCATTAAAAATCAATAATAAAATATAGGCAGGCAACAGTATTTACTGGAAAATGTATGAGAAGTTGCCTAGGTCTAATAAGTTGTCATTGAAGAAACCATTTATAATAGCGTGAAGTTAAAATGTATAAAAAGGATCGCTACTTATATTTTCATTTTTGTTCTAAAGAAAACATAGAATGAATGATTAAAACTGGTTTCCGATCAGTAAGTCACAAAATTGCATACCAGCCAAATTTTATAATCAACGGCAGAAATCTTGAAATCTAGTCCTTGCTGAATGAACATTTAAGAATAAAGGGATATTAAAGAACATCGTAAAATGATAATTTATTGTTTAAAAACTTTCTAGTTTCTGATGTCTACTATTTCCAGCATTACTGTTATTATCACAAAAATAAAGGTAATTTTTCTTCTTATTGTACATCTATCCATTTATTTATTTGATTTAATTTCTACTTTGTTAGTGAAATTTGTTATATAAGTTTCACTGTTTTTTTTTTGCAAGTATTTGTACAATTTTCAACACAGCAACTCCGGTTGCTTATTGTGTTGTTTTTACCTACTTTTTTGAAAAAAAGTAAAATGTATACGTGTATTTGATATGCCAAAATTACAAAATATCCCCCTAAAATGCACGAATTATCCGCAGCTAGCGCTAGTATCGCTTTTGCTTCCCTTTCCATGACTTCGCACGGAGCGAATACAGAATGGGCCTACGCTCTTTCAATACTTCGTGCTTTTTTCACATAGCCATCTCCATACGGCTTGTCCTATATGAAACCAACATGGAAGCAAGTTAGTTGAAGGAAGAACTGTTCTTAGGGTTTGACGCTCGGGGTCATTATCATCAGTCATGATTATTTTTGGTTCTTTTCGACCAGAAAACGCTTTCTTACCTACAGTTTCTAAAACAACTTTGAAACCATTCATATAGTCTTCCTCATTTGGCATTTGCTAATCAATACAGAATCGCAGGATGTAGTACTATCAATAAATACATCTTTTTCATATGGGAATTCATGACTTCTATACATAACAGGTGTTATAATGACAATAATAAATAGATCTTTTTTATGTTTATTCTAGCTCCAATGGCTTCATACTCAGAAAGATTTTCCTTTAATTGTTTAAAATTAAACAAAAAATATTTTATAGAACATAAATTAATGTTAATTTTTTACACCTACCTCTATAACAACACCAACACCTGTTCGAGTACTAAGGTTCGTCTTTCTTCATTTAAAGTTGAGTTAGCCAATTGGAACTCGTCCATTTCTAATTTCATTCTATCGGAATGGTAATTAATTGCTTCAGTGATTCTCAGACCCTGATTGAAATATTTTAGAAAAAGGTTTCTTGTACTAGAAGAAGGGCGCAAAACAGTCAAGGCATCAGCGCTGCTTAATGAGTGATTATGATTGTTTTTATTGTGGTATTCCTGGTAAACTATCCTAAAACATACATTTCATTTCTATGCTCTTTTCCCTACTGTTAGGTTTAAAATTTTTAACCAACCTTTATTAGCGAATGCCTTTTTCTTGTTTATTTTGTGGTTACTTTAACAATAATTGAAACCGAAGCTTCGCAAGTAAGATTTTTAGAGATTCCGAGAAAAATTAAAAAAATTAAGTTCCTGTAGGTACTCGTTCGGATGCTAGAGTGGCAATAGACTAACAGAAGTCAGGCAGACACACGGAAAGTATTTTTTATTCATTTTTTTAAGTACTCTATGCAGACATCCCAAAACGTAACAATTTTTTTTTTTTTGAACGATTAGAGTATAACAGTGCAATTTGTTAGAAGGTAGAAAAAACCATAAAATTATATGCGAATGTATTATTTAGTCAACGCAATCATACCGATGTCTGTAATCTGTTCACATTAAAAGATTTCCTTAAAAAAATCACTTTCAAAAATTAAAAATCGCGCATATAAAATCAATTAAAAAAATACTTATAGGTTATTTTCTCGAGATTTTGTTTATTTACTAATACAAAATTTGTGACTTCTACTTATCAAGTACACAAGTAAATGTGGTAAGGTCTAATATGCGAAGCTTGCTAAATTTCAGGGGTGTTTTTTAACTATTGTTAATAATTTTTAAATAACTAGGAATTTTGAATCACACTGATTCAAGCCCTGTACCTTGTATTTGTTCTCCAACTAATTAACAAACCGCGAAAACCAATGCATAACAGAAAAAAAAATTTTTTTGATGGTGGCTTTGTCCGTCGTACAATCCACGACGTTGAAGTTAGTTGCGAAAAGAGCTCAATCCATTTGTCGACATTTTCTTTGCTGCCGACGTTGGAGTGAATGCGTTCTTGCTCTATTACATTTGAGCTGGCCGCCTGTAATGTGAGGGCAATCCGTACCTGCTTTCGACCCTATCTAGACAAAACGTACCGCGTTTAGTAGCGGACCAATCAAAAATGGATATTTTTGCGCTATGGTTAATACGTAGTACGTTTCGCCTAAATGCATCCGGGGTTCGAACCCCACCTGCGACAGGCTTTTTATTTCATTTTACCGTTGGATTTGGAATCGTCTTAATAACTTGTGGCAGGATTTTTGAGATTCGTTTCCGAATTTTAGTTAGCCACTTATTTCAGATATTTCTCTGACTTTTCGGATTTCGATTTGCGATTTCATGATAAATAAATTCATAATAATTAATTATGAAGATCCTGATTTTGATAGCTAATGTGCTTATTTTAAAAAGTACCATAGTACTGAAATAATAATAGTTTTGGTTGTAAAATAACTATTTCTCGGCTTTCACAAATTATTAAAACTGTTTAAAATTGCGTCTCTACATTGAAAGGGCCTCAATTTTAAGGATCAGGCAATCCTAAAATACATGACACGCCAATTTTCATGCATGAAGTTGTTGTATAATAATACACAAAACGATCTATCTATGCTATTAAAAAACATATATTGCAGAGAAAATCGAATTCTGCGTGTTGATTAAACATTATTTTTTTAAAGATAAAACAGTAACGGGAATCACAGCTAGAAAAACACTATTGCTATCTCGCACCTTTAATAAGAATAATTTAAAAGTAGTTTTCTATGTGGTTAAATGATACTGCATCTGATACTGAGCAGCGTGGTTAAGGTTATGATCAAATATCCGATATTTGATATTTTTTGATAACAATTAAATACTAGAGCGACAAAGAAAATTGTCCTTGTTACCATTCTTGAGTAATAAAAGTGTTAAAGCTAACAAACATATATTATATATTTATCTAAATAGGTTATAAGCAGGCAGGATTAGATTTAGCTCAGAATACTATGGCCTCTAGGGTGTATTGTATTCCACTGCAATTCCTCTATTCAATTACTATCTTTGAATAGTTCTGTGACTTTAATTAGCTTCACAAGGTTCCTTACCAAGTATTTATGAGGTGTGTTCTGGTCCAAAAGGGTGTGCTGCTGCTTATCAAGAGCTTTGTATTCGAAGATGACATGGTCTGAAGTTATTTCCTCTTCCCAAGTGCACCTCTAGAGGGTGGAAATTTTTTTTATATTTCATAAGCCTATTATTAAAAAAAAAAAAAAACAATACAAAAAGGAAATTGTTATTGACGATGACTCTTTCCGAAAATTCGGCCTGCAGTTGCCCTTGCCTCTTTAATGCAAAATCTACGTTTGGTGGGATGATTAGTCCCATTATATTAAGCAGTGTCCCGTTAGTAACCCCTCAATAGTGGATATCTGGGGCCTTGCAATTTATAGTACCTCAGCAGCCATGCGGGATTTTGGTCTCCTTAGCATGAAATTACTCTTATCGTCACTGAGTTTGGTGTTCGGTGTTACTTCACCTGTTCACTGGCTGTCGAGCAGAGGGTTTGCTTATTCCAAATACAGATTCCGGTCTTGTGAATTGTAGTTCTGATCGCTCTTTCGATACCTTTATGGCCTGGTAACGTGGTACCGTACAGTGGTGTTGATAATGTCTTGGTAAAAATTTTAGACGCCAATGCCAAATATATTGCAGTTATTCTTGAATATAGGTTTAATCGCTGTATTGTTGTATCTTTCCATTCAGATTGAAAATGCAAAAATAATACCTATATATAGAAAACAAGGTCTGCAAGATATTGCTTATTATAATCCAATATCTCTTAAGTTATTTTTCTAAACTGTTTAAAAGAATACCCTGTAATAGAATGCTAAATTATTTAAATCAGTTTAATAACTAAATATCAACATGGATTTCGTAAGGGCCATTCTACTCGATCTGCTGTCTCGACCTTTTATACAACCTTGGCTTCAGAGG